TGGATGATTTAACGGTTAGATTCTGATTCTGTGATTCTGATACATTCATTAAGTCAATGTATTCATTATGAGTAAGACTCCATGATTTACCTTTCTCCGCTGTATCTTAAACAGTGGATTCTTATTTATAGCTAAAGGAATGACTCTCTAATGGTGGAATTTCACATTGGGCCACCCAAACACTGACCATATAGCTTTCTACAACTCACACATTCTAGATATTATCTGACCTTCGAGAGAGTCAGGATCCTTCCACATTAGCCTAAGCCTTGAGAGGGAGGGGAGTGGTGTCTGCCTGGAAGAGCAAGATAAGCTCTTGTGTTCTGAGCTTCCTTCCCTTTCCTTCTCCCTTCCCCAAGTCTCAGCTGTTCACCAGTGTCTGCTTCCTCCTCTTCCCAATGGTTATATCGGGCTTATGTCAGTGTGGTTCCCTGGTGGGCTAGACAGCTGGGTGAGGAAGGAGTGTGACTCATGCTCTGAGTCTAGTGAGTCAGACTTGGGGTGGGCTGGACCAGGGGCTTCCCCAGGACAGGAAGCAGGTTATGTATGCAGGAGATGAACAGACCATACCTGGAGCCAAAGAGGATTGGAATTTCCTATTCTATCCTCTCATGTCCTAGGTTTGAACCCAGCAAGATTTCAGAGCTCATGGGATTCTTTCCTCTTCCCAGCTCAAGAACTGAGAAGCAAGTGCATCATAATTAAACTCCTACCTTGTGTGACCTTGGCCAAGTTATTTAACTGCTTTTGAGTTTCAGTTTCTTTTGCTGGGGAACAAAAAAAAGGATAATAAACTCACTTAATGGAGTTGCTGTGCATTAAATAAAACCTAGCACCCGCTACAGACCTGGCTTCAGAAGGTGAGTCTATGTTCATTCTGAAATGGAGTGGAAGCCCCATTCCTTTTGGACTCACCGGGAGATGTGAAGTCAGTCAGCGAGAAGGCTGAGGCGGGGCCATTTCCAGGGCAGGAGTGCCCTTTTGTGGTTTGGGAACTGGCCCCAGGCTGGTTCTGAAAGGCAGCCTGGGGTTCTTTCTCCTGACAGAAACTTTTCTTCCCTGCTAGGTCTCTGGGGCCTTTCCCCATCCTGGTGAACAGTCCTAAGGGGGCCCTTCACACACAGTGCAAACAATGAACAAGCTGAATATGGATTACTAAACAGAATCAGTATTACTATGTTTCCTTTTGTTTCAGGCTCCAATTGTTTGTCCTCATTTAAAATTTTGGTATTTTGTTCATCCCGGATTTTTTGCATTTTTTATTTTAAAAAATATTGAGTTAAAATCTAATTTATCTAGATTACTGAGTTCCTTGCGTTCCCTTAAATTTTGCCTCTAATGATGGAATCTCTCCATCTCTAGCTTTTTTAGGGGGGCTGGAGGGTGGGAGGGTGTATTTTGGAGGCAATCTGTGCCTGCTCCTTTAAACCTGTGACCTTTTTTTGCGAATGGGAACTTTGCTCTGTATCCCCACCAGAGGCCAGGATAAAGTTCCTAGCCTGGTTCCACTGCATCCAGTCTCCCACCCGCATTTCCACTGAGCTCGGGGATGACTCCGAATTCCTGAAAATCCTCAGCTCCGTTTAATTCCGTAAATATTACTCAAGGGCCAGGCAGGCAGCTGGTTAAGGCTGGGGGCGGGCGAAGATGGGCGCCGAGCGTGCTGGGGGCACCTGGATGGGGCACCCCGCCCGGTCGGAGAGCGCGGGGCCGGGAAGGCTCCCGGAGGCTCCGCCAGGGCGGGACGCTGAGAGCTGGCACACTCTGTACCCGGAGGCCTAGCCGCGGACCCTAGCGCACCTTCGCGGGGGCAACCGCGTCAGAAACCCCGACCTGGCGTGACTTCCTGCCCGGGAGGCCCCGCGGCCTCGGGCTCTGGACGCGGGCCAGGGAGGCGCCGCTTCGGAGGCGCTTCCTGGGCGCAGCGGGCGCGGGAGGCGCGGGAGGAGCGCGGTGAGCGCACCTGGAGCGCCCGCAGGCCGGGGGGGGCGCGCGCGGCGACATGGAGGACGGCGTGCTCAAGGAGGGCTTCCTCGTCAAGAGGGTGAGCGCGCCGGAGCCTCTCCGGACACTGGCCCGGCGGCCAGCGGCGGGCGGCGGCTCCCGG